ATTAGACAAATTTAAAAAAAAGCAAATGAAATCTGCTTTGGGTTGACATTTTTTTGGTAAGTGATGAAATCCTTTCTTACTCAGAGCCATGAAACTTGCTCTTCTAGATTAACTGGAAAGACATTCACTATACTTTTTTGAACACTGTTCCACGATAGCTTTGTCTCTTCAAATTAATCTTTCTAGTGCTAATGTAAAGCATTCGTCTTTGCTTATTCCTCCTAAAGAACTAGTCAGTAACCAAAGATAACTATCCTTTTCTTTTATTTATTTATTTTTTTGACACTAAAGGAGCTTCTGGTGCTGGATACAATTTTTCTTATTATCAGCTTCAAAAGAATACAGTTACCACTATATGCATTCATTCATACATAGTGAAATACTGTGTACTGAAATATGTTCTGTACATCTTTGGCTAATTCTTGCCTTCTGTTTTTTTTTTTTCACACCACAAAATAACTAAAATATTCAATGTTCTTATATTGTAGTCCAAAGGTGCTTTGAGAGTATTCATTTGAACAATCAGATTGCTGTTGTCAGTTTAGTTACAACGGCTTACACTCTTTAAGGAGTAGTCTTAAAACTATCTTTTTTAGGGTACGGACAAAGCTTCTTTTGTTACTACGATTTTGTTTCTCTTTTCCTTCTTCTTTTTTTTTTTTTTTTTTTAGATGGAGTCTAGCTCTGTTGCCCAGGCTGGAGTGCAGTGCTGCGATCTCAGCTCACCACAACCTCCACCTCCCAGATCCCAGTTCAAGCAATTCTCCTGCCTCAGTCTTCCGAGTAGCTGGGATCACAGGCATATGTCACCATGCCTAGCTAATTTTTGTATTTTTAGTAGAGACTGGGTTTCACCATGTTGGCTAGGCTGGTGTTGAACTCCTGGCCTCATGATCCGCCTGCCTTGGCCTCCCAAAGTGCTAGGATTACAGGCATGCGACACCATACCCAGCCTTTGTTTTCTCTTCTTTGGCATTTTGTTTTGATTCCCATTTCCTTTGATTAGGTGGTTTACATTCCCTAAAGATTATAAAGCTGCATGGCTTAAAATTTTCATGCATAAGGAAAGAAGGGTGTGTGTTGTATGTGTCTGTGTGTGTGTGTGTGTGTGTGTGTGTGTGTGCCTGTATGTATGTATAGACATATCCCATCTCCTACAGAAACTCATATCTAAGTGAACTCATTTTAAATAAATGGATACCTGGAAAGTGTAATGTAAATCAAATCCTCTGAGAAGATGCTCATTACCAAAAAGCATTTTTGCTTTTATTATGCTGAAAGTGCTATTATAAAGAAAGGCTTCTTTCTTACAAGAAAACAAAATTATCTGATGATATTACCTTTTACTTATATCTAGATTTTCTTATTTTTGACTTAAAAATCATGCATATAAAATTTACATAAATAATACTCATTGAAATCTTTGGGCAAGGAATAACAACTTACCAAAATAAAATGCTTCAGGGATTTTATTTAGGCTGATTATCAACATATAAAAATAATATTGGTCATAGTTTGATTATGCAATTCTTATACTGACATCCCTATTCATTAGCACTCAACACTATGAAGGTCACATGAACCAATCTCTGCTCTGGGGAAGTAAAAATCTTGTTGAGGAATGCATTTCAATAAGAAATAATTCTAGAAGACAGAAATTAATAATATGCTAATTGAATATGGAGAATAAATACAAAAATCACTAGAGAGAATCAGTCAGAGAAGATGGGATGTTGAGAACATGCTGTAGAGGAAACATTTGGATGAGCAGAGGCTTGAGAAGCTATTCCCAGACATTAAAATTTAGGGGAAAATAAGTGTTGATGGGTAAGGGTTGAGGAGATTAAGATGCTTCTAAATTGTGTAGAGTCTGTAATAAACAAAAGTAGATAATGAAGTAATATTAGTAAGAGTGAGATCAAGCAATAAGCAATACTAAAAATATTTGAAGAGACAGTCAATAAGGAGCAAAATATGAAAAAGAATGATGTGCATATTGAAGAAATATTGAAATGGCAGAAAGATCAGATATGGGGCAATGGCATTAATTTAGAAGTAAAGGCAGTCTAGACTATGTAAGCATAGAGGAGAAATTAGACCAGTCAGTAGTCATTAACACTGAAAAACAGAATTCCAGGCTCTGTCATATGCAAGGGTTCTCACATCCTTCCATGACACTCACAAGTGGAACATCCATGTGAAGCCTTTCATCCACATGTCTACCTTGAAGAATAGAATGTAATTTGCAAGAAACCCAAGTGTGGCCTGTTTTGTTCACTGCTACATATCCAGTGCCTAAAATAATATCTAGCATAATGTATGAGTGCAATAAATATTTCTTGAATACTTATCACTTCAAAATATAGTTGAAAGTCTACTTTTCTTTTGAAACTTTTCTCAATTATTTCAGGTGACAAAGCACAAAGCCTAGTGGGGAAAACATGGATTTTGGAATCAAGCAGACATGTGTTCAGCTACTGACTACTTCTTAGAAGTGTTTCAACAAAACTTTTCTGATTTTCAGTTTTTTAAATTTGCAAAAGACAATGCTATCCATCTTTCAGTGTTTTTATAAGGTCAGAGATACATGATGGGTACCCAATCTATGGCAACTATTAACTAAGAGCAAGGTATATCACTCAATCATATTGTCTTTATATCTATGCAATGCTGTATATGTCTGAATTATAACATTTATCACTTTATGCAAGAGAGGAACATGTCTGTCTTTTCTCCCTCCATACGTAAACTTATTGCTATTCTACTCACTTCTTTAATGTGCCGAGAAAATTTGTCTCAAAATTCATTACAACTACAATCTCAGTAAAATTTCTTGTTTGATTAGACTTCAGTGCTTTCACTTTGTTTCAGTGTCATGACTTTTACTCTTGTGTATTAAAAGTATTAATGTTCAAGTTTGTCTTCATTCCTGAAATATGAGCTCTGCAAAGGCAGGAATGCTAGTTTCTATTCACACATTCTTCATGCATAGGAAAGTATGCTGGGCACACAGACATATTCTATCAAAGATGAGATAAAAAAATAAAAATTACGAAATTTTGTGACAAAATGTTCATTAGGGAAATGGATATTATGAAGAACAAAATGCATATTAGAACATGTTATCTCCCAGAGAAATTATTCTTAGAAATAAGGCAATAATTCTTAGAATTACTGAAAAAATTAAATTCAGACAAATTTTAGAAACTCTGTCCTGTCAGGAATTTTGCTAAAGAAACCCAAGATAATCTCAGAGTTTAGGGATTACTCATATTTTTTGCATACCTGTTTTGCAGGCCTTATATTTTTTGCATACCTGTTTTGATATTGAAAATAGTAGCTATTGCATTCTACTTGAGAGTCTCATCCATGTACTTTTTATCGGTTCCTGATTTCAGGAACCAGTATTCACAGGACCATCTTTTGTTTGTCAACAGCACTTACTAAACTTCTACAATGTGCAGAGCAAAGAGGCTGGTGAAAGCAATCACTAGACACGAAGACACTAGTCTCCTCTGAAATCAGCAACCTATTTAGATACACAGGAATCATAAAAAAATAATGCACTAAGAGTCAATTTCACATCATATTCTTAAAGAAGGCTGATGCTTTGGTATTATTATTATGATATCAAGGTATAAAGCCTGCAATGTTTAAATCCTGCCAATATAATAAAAACAAAACCCGTCAGCTTTCATCTAGTGTCTTGCAGAATAAACAAAAGATTGCACTGTGTTCATTCCAACTAGTTCCTGTGGGCTTAGCTACAATGAGTAACAATATGAGTAACATAGAGTAACACAATGAATAAAAAAAGTAAGCTTTTTCTTTACTTGTTGAATCTAAATTTATTAAACTACTTGAAATTGAATGGTGATATCTAATTAAGTATTACAGGGCATTTATAGAACTGAAAAATCTATTCATGTGCTTTAAGAACATATTGATTTTTTTCCTGGAAAGCATGATGCTTTTATGCATGTTGTATCAAATCCAGATCTTATTTTCCAATAAAGAAAATAGAGTATTTTATCTAGTAAAAATTATATGAAATCTATATTTTTAAACGATAGCTTCTGCTAGACAGGAAATTCTATGTAAGTAGAACAGCATTTGATTATTTTTGTTTATTTATGTCCACCAAAAATGAGAGCAAATTATTTTATTTTTAAATAAATAATATTGACAAAATGTGGCTCTTTTAATACTCTAATGCCAACATCCAAACTTATTTTCTTCATTAATCTTTAAGACCAGTTTACAAATACTAGGGGAGAAAATTATTTTTTAGCATTATATTATATTCACCTTCCAATATTACATAATTTACTTTTGATATACTATTTATTAGTGTTATTTTCTAAGAACCTGACATTAAAAGCCTTTTTGCAAATGTAAAATTAGTTTCAGCTTGTATGTTTTAAAAAAAATAATATGTTAGACATAACTGCCTAAAACATGAAAACAATAACATGTATATGTAAAGTTAAAATGATAGTCTCATAGAAGAGACTTAACTCAAAAGGCTACCAGTGGACCCCCAAACCAAATGATCAATGCTCCTCCTGTAAAACAATGCTTTAATGATCAAATGAAATGACAGGGATCTCATAAAGATATGTAAACCACAGATACAATAGCTGCGGTATGCCTGCAAGTGGCTAAGCTCCCAAGCAAATCATCCCTATTAGTTCCTATTCATGATTCAAATTATGCTATTTTATCTCTTCATAACATGCTGCAATTTTTTTTTACCCTCACATTTTAGGCATTTTAGCTTCTGCTGACATAAATGCATTCCCAAAATAGAATGTTACAGCAATCTTCTGCTAGACATTTAAGCCCATTTGTGCATTTATTTTTTAAAATGCTTTTTTTGAACTTTCTAACTGTGAGAGGGCTGGGAAGGTAGTGTTAGAATGAATGAGAACTTGTTTTCTAAAGCAACACTAAACACTTGCTCTACTGTTAAAAAAAAAAAAAAAAAATCAGTCTCCTACCTTGAACACAAACATCTCACGGCGAAGAATAGCTAGAGTGTTAAAGTTCCCATCACAGATGTTGGGTTTGGCTCCAGGATAGGAGGGTCTGCCAGTGGGAGGCCGAGGAGGTTTTGGCCTGTCATTTTTCCTTGGGTCAGCCGGAGGAATAGAGCGGTGTGGGGGCACTGTCGGTAGAGGTCTTGTAGGTGGAGGAATCTTGTCAGGTGGACCTTTTGAAAATATGAGGACAGTGCTTGGCTCACTTAAAACTGGAATAGAGCTGGAAAATATGCTACAGAGAACAATCACTTATCAGCAGAGGGCACAGACTAAGCGAACTAAGAGGTCTTTAAGATAGTATATTTTCTGAAAAAACAAAATATCTTACCCAAAAAAGCATTGCTAAGTCTATCTGAAACAGTCCTTATCATGCTAGATTCTGGATCCTGGTAGCTAGGTTTTCTTTGTTAATTTTTACTAATATTTTTTATAGCTTCACCACAGTCATTTTTGGAAAAGCTGCCTTCAGATCTTTTTCGGAAGTAGGTGGTGTATAAATAACAAATAAATGGAAAGGAATACTGGAGCCATGTATGTAAGCTCCAACAAAGTTAATTCTATATTTCTCTAGATAATGATTCTCTGCAAATATTTCCAAAAGAGAAATGTTAACGAAGCAAAGTTTATTCTATCCTATGTGTCAAAATTGTTTGATACACTTTTATTGATTTTCACCGTTTTCTTCAAATGAAATGTTTTGATAAATTGCTGGAAGAGTGTTTCATTTAAGAAGTGAATCTAAAATACCTATTGATTAAAATACCACCAGTAAAATATTAATGTGAAGAAGTATTTCTCAAAAGAGGCTTCTAAATCAAGCCAAAGTTTACATATGTAATTTGGTACAGATGTTAAGCAGCATTCTCAAGAGATTCATGTTTTTAAAAAGAAATATAAAGCTGTTTGCATTTAATATTTAGGTATGGGAAGAATATTCTTTTGCAGACCTTCAGTCTAGACTGCTACTTCATGAGGTCGTGAGAAAGAGACTTCTTTCAGTGAAGCACTTAAGAAGAATTTCTGATGATACACACTTAGACATAGGATAGTTCAATTCAACATAAGAGATATTTAGCACTGAGTCAGACATTTCTCTCTTCTTGGTATCCCAGCAAACTAAAGAACAGCACAATAACTGACCTTTTTTAACAAATCGATTTTAACCCTGAGAGAATATTTACCACTGAGTTATTAAAATTGAAAAAACTAATGAATGTAAAACAAATTAGTGAACTTAAACTATGCTGCTTAAAAATGCAAAAGACATCTTCTGGATATTGGATATTAACATACAGATGGCACACATTTGTCTTTGTATTGTAAAAATAAAAGCTTCACTTCATTAATTTAGTAAAGCGTATTTGCTATATGTAAATTATAAATGTCAAGTTATTAGCAACTATGTGTGAAATAAATGCCTTTATAAAGGTCAATGGTTGTATAAGGAAGTTAGGATTGTAGTGAATATGCATAATAGTCTTTCCCTTTTTCTCTTAATTTGCATTCATTGACTGAAATAAATAAAAATGACATTATTATACTAGAAATTTGTTTTGCACTCTGTATTAATAAACTATCACTTGTTAATTTCACTCCCTTGTTTGTTAACTCTTACTCTAGGTCAAAAATCATTACATGACTTTGGGACCAATTTCTTGTACCATCACATAAAGGTATTTTGTGGACCTTCAAAAGTACTTGGTCTAGGAAATACCTAACATCATACCCCTCAAACTATGAGTCAATCTGTCAGTTTGTAGAAAAGTCTCAGAATTTTATATATGAAAGTCTTATATTTTTTCCTGTTTTCATTGGTTACGTTCATTTATTATATATTTTTACCTGAATTTTAAAAACTAAAGTTTATTAGAACTTTGCAGTAACTGTAGGTTTCAACCAAGCTCAGTAAGAAAATTTCATCAGTGCTTAATATTGTTCCCATAATCTATATATTAACATACCTGGGACCTTTGCCAATGAAATTCAATTGATAGAATAATTTTGCCAGTAGGCCAGCTATATACTTTTTATTTAGTTATCTATCTTATTCTTAGAGCATCTATCTCAAAGAAGAAAACACAGCAGAAATTCTGGACTTCACTACAGGATTAAGCAAATGGAAACAGTAGTAACCTACCATATATCTTCTGGATGCCCTGCAAATCATCATTAGGTAGTTTGAAGTTGTCCGTTTCCATGTACTGGTAAAATGGAGCCATGATGGCAGTGGGATCATTCGAATGCTCCAAACCCAGAGCATGTCCCAGTTCATGAACTGCTACAAGAAATAAGTCATTTCCTGTGTGAACAAGAAGAAAATAAGTTATTGTAACTAATATGCAAGTACAGAATTGAAAAGGACAATTTGGTGTTATCAACATTTCACCCAAGAAAAATAGGAGGAACTCTTTCCTTCAACTATTAGTATGGTTTCATCATTGGCTTTCCTACTGGCAAAAATACAATATCCTTCTCTCAAAAAGGGGTCAGTGAGGAGGTGATGATGAGGAAGTCACAGATATTTAGAATCCAAAAGGGAAGAACAAATAATAAAAGTTGAAGAGCAGCAGTATCAGAAACTGATTCTACTGCTGTCAAAATACTGTGCTAATTATGAAACACATAATGTAAAATATCTTAGTTTTATGCCTCACATTTAATATAATTCTAACAACTTAGTAAAAAATATAGGGCAGATACCCTCCTTACTTTTATACAGATGAGTAAAGTAAGACACGAAGATGACAAGTCTTGTCAGGAACAGCAAAGAGCTGAGAATGTGACTCAAAATATTCTTACTACTAGACTAAAGCTTTAATTTCTTGCTAGCCTAGAATATAGGAATACAATATTGTAAAACAAAATCTATAGGGTATCAGTCATACTAACTAGAATTCTAGTACTAGCTTTATAAATACCAATTCTTATCTTTTCATACGTAATCTGAACAAAATATATTTATCTTAGAGCTGTTGTTCATCACTGAAAATTTCTACCTGTGGTAAACTTGCAAAGTGAAATCTACTAGGTAAAAAACTCTGCAGAGATATTTGATGTGATTTTATGCAATCAACCCCCTGCTGATGAATTCTACATTTTGTTCAATCCTGGATCATCACAACATACTCATTATGAGAAACTGAGGTGGTCCTACATCTATATTTTTTAATGCTAAAAATTTAGTTGGACAATGTTATGTATCAATTAGTTGGGACTGTTACGTTTCTAAGGGTTATGTTTCTAAGTGAAAAGTTTAATGTGATTGAACATGAAGGGTAATATTTCACATGAATACCTGCCAGAAATGCAAATATTTAATAATTTCAACAAGAATTCTTTCTATGAAAACTCCTTTCCAACCACTTTTTTAAGGTACTGTGATAATTGCCTTCAGAAGACTATTTTTTTGAACCCAAAGCCAGGTGAATAACCAACGTAGTCTGTCACAGAGGAATAGATGAAATCATGAGGCTGACTCTTCATATGATATTAGCATGCCAAAAATGAGTCACTGAAACAATACTTCCAGGGGTCTACCTGAATAAAATTACGAATAGGGCATGGTTATTGAGGGTTGTTTAAAGAACATCATAGTCATAGGAGGAAGAAAAAAAAAAAAACAGAAGGAAGGAGGAAGTTATTCATGAAGAGTTGCATAACTATGTCAATATTTGCAAGTATGTAATTTAGGGAGAAGACTACTAAGGATTGTGTCTTGGGGCACTCACAGGTGAGAAGATGATTGGAAAGAAAAGAAGCTGTAGTCATTTTTAGTTATGAAACAACCCCAATACAATATGAACACCTTAGTTAAGATACCAATCTCATAACCACGAGGCTTATTGCTACCCTAAATAACACGTTAAGTAGAAGAAGGATAGCTTTGGAGCATGCCCATACCCAGAAAACATGGGTCAACTTTGGCTGGAGCATGGTATCATTGGGCTAAGCGAAAGGACATTTTCACCAACAGCAGACCAAATGGCAAAACAAAGATCTACCAAGCAGACAAAGGAGCAAAAGAAGCTCAGGCAGTCGAACGAAGAGTAGAAAACTCAGGAATTGGCACTGAAGTTAACCATGAACAGCTAGTCACACCTGAACTCAAGTCAGAAGACAGTGCTCACTAAGAAAATAGCTTCAGACACTCCTGGCCTTCTTTTAGCAAAACTGATGCAACTTCTTGATCAGAAAGTCCCAATGTGGACTTACAAGGATTATATCTGATTTTAATCTTCAAAAGGAAAAAAAATTCCAACTTTCATTCCCTCCTGCTTGCATATCACCTTCACTAGAATAAACACATTCTGCTCTGTTCCTAGACACACAGGAAGTCAGTCTTACTCTGATGCAGATAAATATTGCTTTCAGTCAAAACTAAAATTTTGGCTAGAAGCCCTGCTGAATTATAAAGACACTTCAAACCTCTCACAAGAAAATAGTCTCTTGGTCTCAGATATATTTTTTTCCTTTTTTGGCTAGAAAGAGGAATACAAAAAGACAAAAACAACACAGACCTAATGGCAAACAGGTCATAACAGTCAAAGCCATTCTGTTTCATGTATCTGTTCTCTTCAGATCATTCATATTTTTCCTAAGCATCATTTTGAAGGGCGGAGTTATTCCTTGTCTAAGGAATAAAGTAAGGCTTTAAAAGAAAATTAATAGGACCAGGACATGAACTTATGACCTGTTGAGTACTCTACAGCATTTTAAATCAGAAACATTGGCCAAGGGCGCCAAGTAATTACCATTCTTCAGATGATTGGCAATAATGTAATTAAATCTTACTTGCAGCTTCACAATAGTTTAAAAGGGTAAGTTGTTCAATAAAGTACTGCCCTGTGATTTGAATTCCACTAGGAACAAAAGTTGTTGGCACACGATGAGCTTCAGACAATTAAAATGCACTGGACCTCTTTCCTAATGATGAAAAAGTGACTGCTGCTCTAACTTATCATTAATTCACATTATTCAAAATCCTTAATTATTATATGCCTTGATTTTATCACCAAGCAGGCAACAAAGGATAAATCAGCCTCTTGGTTCTTAATACAGAAATAGCACTTGCTTCTTTTGCAAGATTTTGAGTTTTGAGTTTGTTGCTTTCAATTGTATCTCTAATCTCCTTTCCTTTGTATATTCCAATACAATATTAGAATACTAAACTGTATATTATGAAGGATAATGCATTATTTGTCATGTCTGTCATAATTATGTCTATATTTTATTCCAAGTTCCTTCATCCCTCCATGCATTTTCACATACTGTTCTTTCTGCTGACATATCCTGAATGTTAAAAAAATGATTGTGTAATATTTTATACATACAAATTGTTCTGAATAATTCTAACATTTATAATCCTACTAAAATTTTTGGATATCACCAACATCGTTGGATCTCTCTCTGATGTTTCTGTGTTCCCATAACTTTGGTTCCTCCATTCCTTCCAGAGGTCATCACTACCCGGAGTTCTGACTTTCTCATTGCACTGCTTACATTTTTGTTAAATGTATTTTTGTATATTTTGCCTTGCTTATATTTTTATCAACTATGTATGTTTCAATGAATTATAGTTTCTCCTAGTGTTGGAGATTTGCAAAGTTTATCTTTACATGCTGTCTTATAAAACTTGTTGAAACTCAACATTTTTTCCTAATATATGTCCTCTAGCTTGCCTTTGTCAATTGTGCAAATCTTGTTAATATTTTAAAACAAAATTCAAAGTCATCTCCTCTGAGAAGCCTTCTCCAAATTCCCAGGTTAGTTCAGTCCCTCTACCTCTGTGTATAATTGGCCTTTCTTATAAAACTTGATTGTAACACAGACCATAATTGCCTTGAAAACTTCTGATGCTCTTAATATTTACTTGTAGTTTAAGAGACTGACAGTGAATTTGAACAGATTTCTGATTTTAAACATATAAATATTTAAAATATTACAGTCCATATCCAGAAATAAAAATCAGAAATCATCATCAAACCTGTGATTTGTAGAGATTTCTCCAGTGCTTAGTGGATGAATAAGATGGAATGAGTCTTCTCAACCTGCAGCTCTATCAGACCATGAGTACAGTTGGTTTCTCTAGTTGAGAAGCTAAAGAGATATATTGGAGCCAGCCTCAGAGATGACAACAGTGATCCTCTCCTCCTGATCTCATACTCACATTGTATGAGGGTTTTATCAGTTTGCTACAGCAAAATATGACAGAAGTGATGGTAATTGACTTCTAAAGTGAGGTCATACGATATATCCATAACTTCCATCTTATCTCTCTCTGTTTCTCTTTCCCCCACCTTTCCCCACACCTGCCCCCTCTACAGCCATGTGAGTTAGCTTGGAAGTGAACTTTCCAACCCCTTCATATGAGTGCAGCCCCAGCCAACGTGGGTATCCCTGAAATAACCCTCCTAGCCAGAACCACTTGGCTAAGCCGCTTCTCGATTTCTAACCTTCAGAGCTAGAAACTTCAGAACCATGTGAGATAATAAATTGTGGCTTTAAGTTGCTGCATTTTGGGGTAGTTTTTTAATGCAGCAATACATAAGTGCTATGGGGTATTTTAGCAATCTAACTCCTCTCCATTTGGTTAGGATTAAGAGATGATTCTGAGAAAAACTGAAAAATACAGAAGAAAGGAAGCTACTTTGAAACATGTGAGTGTTTGTATAGCACTTCTGAAATAAACAAGGAATGAAAATATTGTCCATTCCAACCCCCTCTACAATAGCCAAAAGGCTTGGCATAACTTTTAGTCTGAAGGAATGTCTGAGTTTGAAAAGTTCCAGAGGTAGAAATATCATCTGTTTTCTTGTCTCCTATGTTTTTTCAAATCTGAAAAACCTGATACATTGTTGTACCTATGCTATTCCTCTTTGCACTTCACCAAAAAGAGGCCACTCTCTTGGTGATCAGAAAAGCATGGTTCCTGCCAGAGAGCCAGAGAAGTCTGAGAGACGGATCTGAAAACATAAAGGAAATACTATTTATTGAGCATCTATTATAAACTATAAATGTCACTGAACTTCTTATTGAAACATCATGACCTAAACTTTATTACTCCTGCTTTACTAGCAAAGCTCTCAGAGGCTATGGAACTTACTCAGTCAGGCAGCCCTTAAAAGGCAGAGTTGGTATTTACATCCTGAAGGCACGGGTCACCTAAAAGGACTTAGATCACAGCTTTGCAATACAGAAGCTGAGAGAAGCTGTTCTTGGGTGAATTATCACACATCTCTTTCTGACACTATTGCTCTTCCATGAAGCCTCCAGTCTTTCAAGTTACTATCTCTTGCCTTC